GCATTGAAAGATGGAATGACTGTAACAAGTAGTANAAAAGGACNGTTGTTTTCAACTGTTCAGGGCAAAATATGAGCATTTTGCAATTGATTCTGAATTTTTATTTTTATTTGCAAATCAGAAAAAAATGAAGCGGCGAATCCGTTAACCAAGAAATTAAATTGGTGTGGCCTAGCTAATGCAAAATACACAATCATTTGGTCAAACACTCAAATTACTTGATCTAGTAGCATGTGCCTGATTCTTATTTCCCTGTACATCCCTGTATGGATAAAACCTTAAGTGTCAAAATTAATTTTACATCTGGAAACAGATAATTGATGAGACTTAATTCTAGACTGGGTATGATAATTGGTCTTGCTTGTGTCTTCTTCTCCTTCGTTGCAAGCCTCAACATTTCTGCTAGGGGGTGCTTCTGCCTTAAGTCCCTACCTTCATGATCCCATTCCAGTTGTCTCCTGTTCCTACCCTGAACAGCGTGAGGAAGGCCATTCCGAAGTTTTCAAAGTTGGCATGCTTGCCAAGCCCAGAGCAGGGGTGTTCCATAGAGCAGGCTGAAACAAGGCAAAAGCTCCGTTTCAATCCTAGACCCAACCTACCTTCATGATCCCATTCCAGTTGTCCCCTGTTGCTATCCTAAACAGTGTGAGCAGAGCCATGCTGAAGTTTTTAAAGTTTGCATGGAGGCCCAGCCCAGAGCATGGCCGTTCCACATTAGAAGTACAGTCTGAAAACAAGAAAAGAAAGTAAACTAAACTACAGACTACACTACATGTCAAGGGAGATAACTCAGGCTGGAAGGCAGGAAAAGGAACGTGTGGTACGTTGTGAAAGGAGGGGGAAATGATAGGGAATCGTGGGAGTCTACTATTATCAAAGTATGATACAACACGTGCATTAATGCCACAATACATGCAACAACAGCTATAGGGCTTATACTGTAGCGTACAATGTATAACATCATAGAATTAATATACAAATCACTACATTGTTCTAAGACTTGCACCTTCATCAGCGTCACACACACACACACACAAACACACACAGACAAGCCAAAAGCAATACTTCACTCCCTTGGGATGAAGCTATAATAACATTCAACCATGAAAGCCTGAGAGTTGCTATCAGCATACAAAGTCACCATGTTAGTTTTGCTATGGAAACTGTTTAAGCTGAGACATACAGCAGCCCTTCTGCTACCATATTTGTACACTCCTGTAAGTCTGGAGTAGCCTGGGAGCCATCCGTTTTTTTTTTAGGAAAGCAAACGCAAGAAGTCCCCTTACAAAACGGATGGCACCCAGGCTATGTCTGGAGTCTGTTTCTCCAAAAGATCTCCATTTGAGAATGTCTTAAGAAACACTTAATGCTTCCTGCCCCATCCTCTTGAATACAATAGCTAGACATTTTTATAAGTAGAAATCTAGGATACCGGTATTGCTGAAAAAAATATAATATTTTCTGCTGTTGTATTAAATACTTACCTCCTACATGTACTATTGTTCTGTAACATGATTTGCAGTGTTACACAAATGTATATTCACAAACAACAAAGACCAAGCAGTGTTCTATCCAGCATCCGTCTTTCCGTCTATAATTTTGACACACATGACACAAAAATTTTGCCACCTTTTGACATCTTGTGCATTTGGTGCTCGTTGTGATGTCATGTTCAACAAAATTGAAATGTTAGCTGGCTAGAACACTCAGTCTGATTCCAGGCAAAAGTTAGTACAACTTTGTTTTCCTCTAGGTCCTGACCCATTTTGCTAGATCTTCCACCACCACCACCACCCCTCCCCGGCCAGTCCCCTGTCTGTCACATACATTTGTACATGTAACAATATTACGTACCAATCTTGCCAAAAAGCTCGACTCCAAGAGCAGCAAAGATGAAGAACAACAGGAAGAACAGCAGCCCCAGATTCCCAACCTGCAGGGGACAAATGTTCAACTCATCTGTTAGGATGGGTCAAATCATGAAGAGTGTCTTGGACCAAGGAGTTTTGCTTGGACATACATGATGCTATTTCCTTCTTTAATTTAATCCTTGAAGTGTCAACTCACTTACTTTATTGAGATTTTTTCTCACTATCCACTTTGATAACAATGTATTTTTAATTGACAAGTACATGAAAATTTGCATCATACTTGAAAGCCAGGAAAAGTGCAGGAATATTATAAGAAGAGAAAATCTACTCAGCTGACACCGAAAGAATTACATGGCATTGCACACTTTTGAGTATTTTAATGAAAGGACTGTAGTTTTCTGAGGATATTCTAATTCTTTCTTTGACAATTCTTTGATAACAATTAACCCATCCATGAGTCCTTCACATGCAGTGGAGTACTTGACATTTAAGTTCTGCCTCTAACAGCCAACATCTATGTGTCATGACATTGTCCTTCAGTTATTTTAAGTCAGACTGTCACATGCAATATTCTATACATGTAATGAACAGTGTAAGCGTCCTTTAGATAGGCTCTAGTGTAAAAAGAATTGAATTCCAAATTTCAAAAATTGGAAATTCAATTTCTTTTTACATGTCGGAGTAGCTTTATTTCAATTCCAGTACTAGAAATTCATGTCAAGCACTGTCTTAGAGTAATTAGGAGACTTGCTATGATTTGATTTTCCACAGGTGCCACATCATTTTTGTACATCATACTTTATTAGAATGATATCACAGTTGTAAAATGTTAATGAGTTATTTTTTTTCAAGTTACAAAATTTTCAACAGGGATGTCTTAAGAACCAGAATTTCAAAATGGGGGCAGTCAGAATTTAGAATCAAATTGAAATCACAATGCTTGACAATAAATGCATCCTTTACTGTAGCCACCACCGGTTAGATGCACTAAGGTCTTTAATTGTATCACAGCACAACACATCAGTTTGTTTAGTTTCAAAGAACCGAATTATTGAAACGACACAACAATGTCCCTTATTTTTTATATGGCACAAGCTCAGCATGCTGACAAATGACACAAGAAGAACTACGTGTAAACTAAACCACACAACATACTAAGCAACAGAAGTTTGAATAGTTAAAGGTCTTGACAAAAATGTTAGATGTTAAATTAGTATGATTAATACAGTATGCAAAAGAAATGCCAAACAAAAGGCAAGAGTCTGCTTTCTACGGAAAGAAAAGGGGCACACTTTTTCCATGGCTGCTCATCTGCCCGGGCAAGATCCTGGTCCTCTCTTTTGGTGCAGTTTTGATCATAATCAATTACATGCTCATGTTTTGTAATAACATACAGGTACCTACAGTTGGGAAGTTCATCATTCTTTTTGCCCATCACTCTAATGTGTGTGTGTTTTTTTTTAGAGAAATTTCTGTGCAACTGTTACACTCAGGTTAAAAGGTTGACCATTCGGCGTAGTGATCCTGTCGCCAAATACATTTTTGATGGTTATTTTGCAAGTTGTGTCGAGGGAAGAGCAGGACCAGGTTCCTTGCCAGCAGACCGCCATTACCTGTGGCAATGCTTTCATGACTGTCTCGAGAAGAAATCTGATGCCTTTGGCCATCTTCAGAAGCTTCAAGACTGCAAAGCAAGAAGCAAGACATGGCAGAGGAAGCCGAGTAAGACGTTATGATCCTTGGTCAGTGTCAGTACTGCGCTTCTGTTGCTTGCACATTTGATGATGATAACAGCCACCATTTCAACGTCACCCCATAAAATGATTTCTTCACACTTCACTTCAGTTTTCAAGCAACTACTTCAGAACACAGCTGGTATACTTTTGAGTTGCAAGGTTCTTGAGCAAAATATTCTGTGCCAACTCATTTTATTGTGTGTACAAAGAAACTGGCTGTCACCACATGTACAACGAACCCTGAAGCGTGGGTTTGAAACAAGCTGACAAAAAACTGTCACAGACATTTCGTCAGCTTATTTCTGCGGCAGCGCAAAAACGCTGCCTGCCTACCTGAGGCAATGCCTTCATTACTGTTTCCAGGAGAGACCTGATCCCTTTGGCCATCTTCAACAGTTTTAGGACTGTGGAGAGACAGAGAAAGGCTCGTGTGTTAGAGCACCATCCGGCACCATGTGTGGGAGAGAGGAGGAAAGACCACAGGGAAAGGAGAGAAAGACTGAAAAAAAAAACCTGATTCAAAAGAAAAACATAATATGAAAGCATAGCAAATGGATAGAGGTGGCAAGCTCTAAGCACTTGTAAAGAGGAGGTGGTAATATTGCAGAAGGTGTTAAAACATGCAGTTAAAGGGAATGCAAAGGTTTAGCAAGGGAACATCTATGGTAGTATTTGTGTTAACATTTTAGTGAGAAGTCTTAGACATTAAACATTTAGAAAATGATGACTAAACATTTAGAAAATGATGGTAAAACATTTAGAAAATGATGACTAAACATTTAGAAAATGATGACTAAACATTTAGAAAATGATGGTAAAACATTTAGAAAATGATGATTAAACATTTAGAAAATGATGATTAACCATTTAGAAAATGACGATTGAACATTTAGAAAATGAAACAGTTGTGGAAAGATGCAAAATGTGAATAAGGATTAAAGATGTTTGTGGTCTGACTGTCATAATGCTTTATAGAATAGTAGTCATGCTATACAAAAAGTAGCTGATAGTGGGAAATTAGAACTCAAAAGCAAGATAGGACTTATCTTCCAATTTAGGGGGGAGGGAGGACACAGGATTAGAAAGAGGAAAGAGTGAAAATGTAGCTGTTAGTTTTCTAAAACATGCTCCAAGCCCTCAGAGACAATAGTTTTGAGGTGCAGTGCTGAAAGACATAAAAGTTTGTAAAGTGCAACAAGCTGTGTAGACAGGTGAGAGAGATAACCATGCTTGTCTGTTAGTTTCATCCCAGGCAAATATATAATACATTGGTTGTAGAGTATAATATATAATAATATGATAACATTGTCAGCACATCTCTACTATAATCACCCAGCAAATAGGAAGATGAATAGGAACATTCACCACGAGCAAGCACAATCATATGAAACAATGCACAAATGCAAACTTTTCATCCATTGTGTTACATACATCATACATAGTCTTAGATATGCCCTGTACACTGTACATTGCACAATATAAGGTTTGTTGCATGCTAACAGCCCCTGTGACATAGAATCATGAAGCCAACAGATTTAGTAGAAGCAATACCATTCAAATTCTCAAACAATTGGGAATTACAACATTTTGGCCATGCAACTGTTGTCGATTGCTTAGGGCTTACAAAGTACCATCCTCCCTTAGTGGAGTTAGTTCCAGAGTTAGCTAAACAGGCCTGGCCAAAAAGAAGATGGTACTACGAATAAAGAGACTCTTTTTTTACACAACCAAGACTTTTATTCTGCAACGTTTCAATGACCTGAATGTGTTAGTAACCAACATTTCAGTCACCAAAACATCAGACGAAAAAACTCTTGGTTGTGTAAAAAAAGAGTATCTTTATTCAGTGACTTACCAACCTGATGAAATCTTTGAAATCTTTATTGTGGATACCACATTGCAGACTTACAGAGTTGGAAACTATAATTCAAGGATGGTACTCTCTAGCCCCATCAGGCAGAAGCAGTGCCATTCAATTCTCAAAAATACATAGTACAAGAGTACAAGTTAGAGTACAGGCCATGCAGGCTTAGCACTTGTGACTAACCTCGGGCTATCCTGAGTACTCTCATGATGCGGATGATAGTAGGGTTGATGGGGAGGAAGGTGGCATCCATCTCCTCCAGCACAATCCCCACAATGGACAGGATCACAATCAACATGTCCAGCTGGTTCCATCTGCAGTGGGGAGAGATACAGTAATGTATATCATACCCGGGCCGCGATAACATTCAATATCGGTGTTCCAGACCGGGCTGTACTTTACGGTATGGCCCGGGCTTCTTTATGCTTCCATAGAACGATTCGAACGCATTTTGTCGTAAACGCGTGAGCTGCTTTCGAAAATTCAAATACATAATTCGGACGTCGAAATTGATGTTGTTGCATTTTAGAGTTTAGGGGCACCAACTTTTGGCTCATCTTGCATTGAAAGGCGTGTTTTTTTGGGTGGGTATGACATATTAAATAGAATACAACACTGTGTATTCCACATTGCCCTCAGTCCTGGCCCTCCCGCGAGTCGGATCGGGCATTTTGGAATACCCCGTGTTGTATTCTATATGTACAGCTCCATCTAATCTAGCTAGCCAGTGACAAGAAAGACAGACACTTTGTATATGTACATTATTATACTGACAGACACTCTGCAAAGTACTGTGAAATTATACTGGTGAAATTTTCCAATTACAATGTAGTAGTAGTAGTAGTACACTGGTTTATTAAACAAGAACATTGCTGCAGTATTATGACAAGCCTCCTGGCAGCCATAATGGTTGAATTGTGAGGCTTATTGTACATTTGGACAAAACTATATACATTTATATAGGTAAAAGGTACAGTTTAAAAGGTAGATTTACAATTAGAAATGCAATTTATTGCATACTACAAATGTATTAGGCCATGTTGATTTGATCATATGGATGACATCCTCCGGGAGCCCCAAAACTGATGTGCGCGTGCGAATAAAAAAAAACTTTTGCAAAAAAAAGTTCTTTTCATTATGAAATCTACGTGGTCATGAGGGTTGAGCAAATGGCACAGAATATGGTTTGGCGAATAATCTAGTCTTCAAGTTCATTTCTTTACAATTTCGTCTTTTTTTGTTTGATTTTGGCATTCTACGACATTGGTATAATTTCTATTAATTTTTTTTGTAACTTATGGTATATTTTTGCTCATTTTGCAACTGTTTTGTACGATTTACAGTATGGTTGAAAACTTTTTTTTTTTGGAAACGGCCGAAAATTCATGCGGGCGCGGATGTCATCCATATAATCAAATCAACATGGCCTTAGTTTAAAATCAATAGGAGCACCTGGAGAATTATTATGTCTTCTATATATTATAGTTTAAAAAAAGAATTCACAATTCACACAGAAAATTTTAACGTCCAACTCTGTGAATTGCAAGCCTTTTTCATTAACATGCAAGTTGGGTGACTGAGTCAGGATTCAGATTTCAACTTTATGATCTGAAAATAAACTTAAATTATTTAAGATACTCTTCTGGGTGTAAAACTACGGGACTATGTAAAACTATACACATGCTACGTATTACTTTTTATTAGCTACATGTACGGTACCTCTCTTTGATGTATCTGACAAAACCCAGCCCTGTGATCTTGAGTGCTGCTTCCAGGATGAAGATGGCAGTGAAGACATAGTTTATGTACTGCAGTACTCTGAACAGCTCCTGGAAGAAAATAGAAGCCTTAGGGTTTAAATCTCTTCCGACAGTCTTTTTCCAGTAATGTCCATCTGCCAAGAAATCGGCAATAACTGACATGTTTTTGTGGCTAGTATGAAAGGGGTGTGCCAGGCCCCCACTAGGTTATTTGTAGTGAATCACCAACTTCCATGCAAACAGTAGGATTTGGACCATGCTTTTTTAGGCATAACACACCAGTTTTGTACAACAATTTAAGTACTACAATGTAACTACAACAATGTAAGTACAAGCCACAACTGTAAGGTTCTAACCACTCACACCGTGAAGAATTTCTACTCTGTTCAATAAGTACAGTGGGTTCTTTAACATGCGAAGGGTGTGGCTCTCCCCAAACACAGGACCTCCATTTAACATCCTATTACAGGTCCCAAACTGAAGCTAGGTACTCATTTCCACCTGAGTAGAGTGAGGAAAGTTGTGTAAAATGCCTTTCTCAAGGGCACAAGATCGGTGTCATTCGAATTCGAACCTGGTACCTGGACAAACACACTACCGCTACGCCACACGACCCCACAAGAGCATTTGAAATGTACTATAATATTAGCTTGTATCTTAAACCGTAAATCACCTCTTTCATGTCATGGTGTTCTATCGCCATGGAGATGACATTGACCCCAATGATGGCGGCGATGCACAAGTCAAAGTACTTATTTGTGATCATGTCGTACACGAGCCTCCGCGGTCTGGAGTATCTCATGTAGAAAAGCTCATCGTCCGAGTCTGGGAGGGAAAAAGAACGGCTTATCATGAAAGTTCATCTGTGTTGGTAGTAATCATAGTAAAATGTTCAACTTTATTCCAACACACAGTTTACAGAGATCAAATTTTCAGTGACTACTGTCGCCTTCATCAGGATAATTAATGACCAATCACTTCGTGTGATTTCGCGAGAGTAACGGTTTACAAACACGTGACCTTATCCCTGGCACTTTCGATCAATTGCTTATGTCACGTATCTGTAAAGTCTCGTGTGAATAAGGTCACGTGTTTGTAAACCGTAACTCTCACGAGATCGCCTTGTGAAGTGATCGCCGGTCATTAATTATCCTGATGAAGCGACAGTGGTCGCTGAAAATTTGATCTCTCTGTAAACTTTGTGTTGGAATAAAGTTCAATTTTTTACTAAAAAGAATGGCTGTTACAGGAAACATGTGGATTGTGCAGAATGTGAAATAATCCTATATTACAACCTCCGGTTTAATAAATGGACTTCCGGTTTAATTCCGGACTAATTCCCATATCCCAACAACCTTACATCTAGATGGGCTAATATCGTAAACTACATGTATCTACATGTAAGGTAAAAATGATATATGATGGTAAGAAATATGTAGCGGCCACCGAGGACTCCTTGGGGATCAACCCAATTCTGCAGAATTCTTCCCAGAATTCTGGCTCCGGTTCCCAAAATTCTGCAGAATTCTGGCTCCAGTTCAGAATTAATTCTGTAGAATTGGGTTAATTCCTAAGGGGTCCTTGATGCCTACCACATATTTCTTACATCATTTTTACCTATAGGTTACGATAGTAGCCCATCTAGATGTCAGGTTGCTGAGATACGGGAATTAGTCCAGAATTGAAACTAGAAGTCCAGATTAATGTCTGGAGGCTGTTTCCTCACATTTTGATTTTAAGCGGTACTAACTTTGATTTGGCCAAAAATGGGGAACAAATCATTTAACACTAATTCTATTTTATCTTATTTTTCTGTTCCATTTTAACTTTCTTTCTGCTAAGGATAACTTATTCAAAACAACTTGAATAAGGTTATTCCATAGGAGAGTGAAGGTTGAAAAGGAAGAGATGTGAACCAGCTACATAAGAGATTACGGTGTTAGCTACGTATCTGTGCATCACAAGAATCACTATGTTACCGTGCTTCAGTTTAGGAAGTCTACTTTTCCCATTTTGCTCTTTTGCCTTTTGCAACGAAATGTCTGTGACAGTTTTTTGTCTCAACACTAGAAACCCCTTACAAATACCTTTACTGAATGGTATTTGTGCCATGTAAAATTCATATCAAGTAGAGTTTTGCAAGGGATTTCAACAGTGAGAAAAGACAGAATGGGCAGAATGGACAAGTAAAATTCCTGATCGAAAGTGGAATATACATGTACTATTGATACAACACTGTAGTGCTACAACAGGAAACCATCACTTTCTACTTGTATAGCCTAAAAATGGAGTAGAATATATAGCAAAGTTTTTTATGAGATATATTTTGCAATGTTCATTTTGTGTAGTAAGTGTTGATAGCCAAAGGTTAACAACAATTTGATGGCGTTTCAGCACCAAGGTAGAAAAATTATTTTTTAGACTTTTTTTAACTGCTTCAATTATAGCAGTGCAAAAGTTACAGTGCTCAAGCATTTGTACAAGTGGCTTATTTGTTCCAAACACATAAAACATTGAGATATGTTAAGATAGAGACATAAACAAGTGGCCAAAGTCTACACTAAAAGGATGGTTCTTGATGCACTACTGTGTACTACAAATTACCAGCTAAAGTGCTAGCCTAGTATATAGCACATTACAGCTAAGTTATAGAAGCCATTACTACTACTTAGGATAAGGCAGAAGAATGCTATGCTGAAGCACCAAAGGGAAGAGATAGTTCTATGTCACTAGCTAATCTACCAGCAGTTTTTCAGAAAAAAAAGGTTTTCTATGTAGAGTACAACTAAAAATTTACCAACATTGTTCATACCTTGGTTCAAGTTATAAAAAAAGATAGGCAAAAAGTTGTCAAGAATTAGTTGCATCTAACATCTACTGTCAAATAAAAAGAGTATACCATAATGCAAGGATGATAGTTTGAGACTTTATGAACAAAAAGTGAAGGCAACAATGACATCTGACAATGCCACACAACAAGACGACACTACATGTATGTGCACCACACAATGACAGCACGTTATTAGTAGTCACAAGTGAACAGCAAAATTAGGTGACAGCTACTACATGTACATCCAGAAAGTTTGTTAGCAGTGAGCAGTGAGATGTGTTAAACGTTATCCATCTTGAAACACCACACAACTACACCAGAAAATCCAAATGTGCACATTTAGGGGGTTGTTAATAGTCTTGTTACTTACGGCAGGCCAAGAGCATTACAATTTCCCTGGTTCTAGACAAGCATTCCCCTCTAAGATCATAGTAGGAAGCTATAACATGCAAAGAAGAGAGGCATCCCATGATTAGAACACATGCAGAGTTAACACTGCATGTTAATTTGTTGAAGAAACTGCAGCCAATATCAAGTTGAGCTGCAGTACACGTTCTATAAGATAGATGGTGTTATTGAGCAATCAAATCACCTCTAAGATCATAGTAGGAAGCTATAACATGCAAAGAAGAGAGGCATCCCATGATTAGAACACATGCAGAGTCTGCATGTTAATTTGTTGAAGAAACTGCAGCTAACACCACGTTGAGCTGCAGTACATGTTCTATAAGATAGATGGTGTTATTGAGCAATCAAATCACCTCTAAGATCATAGTAGGAAGCTATAACATGCAAAGAAGAGAGGCATCCCATGATTAGAACACATGCAGAGTCTGCATGTTAATTTGTTGAAGAAACTGCAGCTAACACCACGTTGAGCTGCAGTACATGTTCTATAAGATAGATGGTGTTATTGAGCAATCAAATCACCTCTAAGATCATAGTAGGAAGCTATAACGTGCAAAGAAGAGAGGCATCCCATGATTAGAACACATGCAGAGACTGCATGTTAATTTGTTGAAGAAACTGCAGCCAATTTCAAGTTGAGCTGCAGTACACATTCTATAAGATAGATGGTGTTATTGAGCAATCAAATCACCTCTAAGATCATAGTAGGAAGCTATAACGTGCAAAGAAGAGAGGCATCCCATGATTAGAACACATGCAGAGACTGCATGTTAATTTGTTGAAGAAACTGCAGCCTAGTTGAGCTGCAGTACATGTTCTATAAGATAGATGGGGTTATTGAGCAATCAAAGAAGTGTGAGTATGATGAGAAGGAATACCTGGTTAACACAATCTGAAATGAAAAGAATGGTAAATGTATCTCTGCTGAAGGGTATTTTGTGTTTGTAAAACACAAAAACACATTTTGCTTTGCCAAAAAATCGAGTCCTATTTGGGGAAGCTTGATATTTTGTTACTGCACCTTTATGACTATGACATGCTTACCAAAAACCTTGATTGCATCATAAACTTGACTCATGCTAGCAGTAACATTAAGATTTCTGGCCTACATGTACATGTCAAAATTCCTGCCAAGTTATACATGTACACTGTGCCTAATATTTCATAACTTTATGGTGAAAGAAAAACATTGAATTTCCTTGTGGACGGTATCATCAAGTCTTATATTTGCACCACGCAGAATCTAAAACCAAGACACATGGAAGGAACAGGAGAGGATTCTTATGTAACAGTTGAGGATAAAATCTAGAAAAAGAGAAAGCAGGTTGTTATCACCACCACCCTAATGAAAAAGGGTAAAAAAAGTAGAATATTAGAAACATTTTTTTATCATTGTGCCAGATGTCATTGCAACCAACACTTTAAAGAAGAGTCTCTTGATGATTTTGGTTCATGATCAGTTGCATCGCAAAATGGCAACAAAGAGTCTGGAAACAAATGTGGAAATTTGAGATGGGCATGCACGAAAATGGAGACATGGGTCTTCAACAGTGCTGTTGTTTTGATATTATGAAGTTTTCTTTCCAAAATATGACACCGTACGTAAGCAACATAAATATTCGTGACACCAGAAACAGTTTTGAGACACAAAAATTCGGTCACCAACGAGTACTAAACCTTCGCAAAAGAAGAGTTAGTAAATTTCTGACGCCTTAGACAACCTTTAACGGGTTTTTGTTCCTTTTTTCCTGCCTGCTTTGGGAGTTTTGTTCCCTCTGTCTCCTCAGGCACAGGCGGAAGACCTGTTATAATAACCAGGGAAGAAAATAAGCAACTCAGTTGACATTTATAGGAACCGTTTTGATCGACATAGAGCATGTCAGCACAGACATTGTGAAGACAATGGAATTTACAATTCACAGCACTGATGTAATTTTGAATAGATGTGAGTGGGAAGAGGCAGTTCATGGTACATGAGGAAACACAAATACATGTAGACAGCACAAATAATGAATGTCATGTTTGATCTATGATATAGAGGTAATCAAATCATTCAAACATCAACCAACAATATATTATATATTAATGAGAGCAAAATATAATACTGAGGAATTCTGATCAAGTCAACTCAGTCAAGAGAGGACCACTGATATACATTGTTCTGTCTCATTGTTCTCAAGTTGCAAAAAGCCTGTAACAACCCTATTAAGTTGATCAACTGTCAAAGATGTCAAATTGCACCAATAACAATGCAATGAGTATACAAAAAACAGTGTCCCATATATTGTTATTCATTCACTCCATAGACTCTGGGCACTGAATTCATTTTCAATTGGAAATATTTTTGGGTGTACCATTGATATAAGATGCATATCAATACCAATCAAAGTTTTGGAGCTTTCAAAAATTCTGATGAACCCAAATTCTAACTTCAAAATCTTACACATTCAAGTGCTACAACAAAGATTTTTAAAAATTTTTCTGACACTTAGATGTCAAGAATATCGTAGTTTAGCATTATAACATTTGGTAACATGGTAACTTAACTGCACAAAAATTGATATTATTTACCAACGTAAATATTTGGATTTCAAAATATTTGGGTGCTCTGGTGCACTCACAGAAAAAAAGTTGGGTGTACAGCTGCAATTTTGGGTGCACCAAGGTGCACATGCACCAGCACGTTGGCACTAACATACTGCACCTGCGCGAAACCCGTGATGTATTTTTCATAGCACTTTGGCTGAATGTCTCATATAAGGTTAACATCCCGTCTGTAGTTTCCAAATGTTGTGTTGGAAAAGATATCGTCTGCAACAGGCAAAATTCTGATGCCACATTGACCAAACATTCAATGAAAAAATCAGGGTGTCGTGCAGGTGCAGCACATTCTGCTGATATGCTGGGTGCACCAAGGTGCAAATGCACTCAGTATTTCCAGCCCTGCCATTGGCTGTCCTTACCAGCCTCTCTGCGCATCCTCCTCTCCATCTTCTTCCTCCTCCTCTCCTCCTGTGCCAGGCGTTCCTCCCGCTCTGCGTCCTCCCGACACTTGTGGAAGTTCTCCACCACCACGCCCACAAACATGTTCAACACGAAGAAGCCAACCAGCAAGAGGAAGGAGATGAAAAAGATGATCATCCACTCATTGTAGTTCTCAATAGGCTGCAAGGATAGATGGATAGTGTTGGAAATTGAAGCTCAGTGTTTATTTCATAATGACATTTGTCCGTGAAGGTTAGACATCCAGGTAATTAGATATGCCAAAAAACAGTTACACAAGCAAATGGATCATATTTCTAAAATCATATCCAGTTGCTTGAAAAACTGTTTTTTTTAGCAGATAGATGGATGATGTAGTCAAACTTGGCCAGAAAATGACCACCTCTATATGCAGGCCATCTGGCCATAATGACTGCTTTTCGTTGATCCCGATTTTTTCCCCATACATGTATTACTAAGCATTAAGGAACTTTTGCAACTGTGACCACTGTATAGAACACATGGCCCAATCTTTGCCTTTGATGACCACATCATTTTCAAGCATGTGGCAGAGAAGCATTTTTGATGATAACTACAGTAGGAAGAAATCTTCATTAAATAGATCAGTTTGCTATAAGGCCACACCAATTTAATTTCTTGGTTAACGGATTCGCCCGCTTCATTTTTTTCTGATTTGCAAATAAAAATAAAAATTCAGAATCAACTGTAAAATGCTCATATTTTGCCCTGAACAGTTGAAAACAGTCATTTTCTTCCTAGTTGTTACAGCTATTCCATCTTTCAATGCAATGGTATCATTAAAAGTTCAAAATTCATTGTTTAAATTTTGAACCAGCCTGGCGTGTTGACTTCATGGCTCCTATCGTACCATTTTGGGCCATAATAGGATGCCTAGGCCTGTTTTTATTTTTATTTTTTTTCGCCCGCCCGCTCCATTATTTTTCTAGAAAAATCCGTTAACCAAGAAATTAAATTGGTGTGGCCTAATTGATATTTTAATGATTTCAACAGCATGACAGTTTTTGTGCAATGTATAGAAATAGAAATGGGATATAGCTCTACATGCAGTCTGTTTGCCAATCACAAACAGTTTCATGCACTGAAGCCCCAGTCTAAACTAGAATTTTTGCTATAAATGAAGAGTCCTGACCTGTACATCTATATCCACTGCATCCAGGCCGTTGTACATGATGTCCACCCAGCCGTCTTTAGATGCCAGCACAAACAGGGCCATCAGTGCCTGGTGTGGAGAAGAGCACAATATATACATTGTATACATTGTATCAAAACGTGTATCAACTACAGACTTACACAAGTACATTGAACAGCCTCCTGTTTAATTCTGGACTTCCACTTTAATTCTGGACTAATTTCCATATCTCAACAACCTTAAATCTACATATGTAGATGGGCTAATACTGGTATCATAAACTATAGGTAAAAATGATGTAAGAAATTCATGGCAACCATTAAGGACACATACATGTAGGGGTTAACCCAATTTTGCAGAATTCTAAAGAATTTTGAACTGGAGCCAGGATTCTGCAGAATTCTGGGAACTGGAGCCAGAATTCTGGGAATAATTCTGCAGGGTTCCTTAATGGCTGATACATATCTTTTATTATAATATCAATTTTACCTATACATGTAGCTATTGTAGTGAGCATAGTTACACTTATATAGATCTAGATATGGCAATGCATGGTACTTCATAATATTAGTTAAAGTTTATGCAAAACATTCTAAAACAGTTTTAATGAAATTTTGTCTGCTTTCCTGGATTTACTTAAATAAATCTTAATCATTACTGTTGGTATTGAATGCCTATAATGTAAAGAAGAAGAGAAAATCTATTCCAAACCAAAGTGTTATAACAAAAGTAAGAAATGTACTTACCTGTCCGAGGTTGTCAAAGTTATACTTCTGATTGACCCATTTCCTCTTGGTGTCCTTCAGGCAGTCTGTCTTGTTTTTCACCCCGTACAGGTCAGGGCCTTCACAGTGGAAGAACTTCCCCTTGAACAGCTGGATAAGAACACCAAAATATTTGTGAATAGTTTCATCAGGTTGGTAAGTTACTGAGTAAAGAGACTCTTTATATACAGAACCATGTGTTTTATTCACAGCCGACGTTTCAGTGACCGTCTGTCACCTTCCTCAGGGCAATCCAACTCCTGTACATTTGGGACCGCATGGGACCGCATTGTAGATACAGTTCCCTGTAAACACGTATATGTGTAGATATGTAAATATTGTACATTTGGGAATGCTTCTATAGCAGCGACACTGTGCTGCAGTGCAATGCATGTGAACCCGTCAGAACTGTCCTGAGGAAGGTGACCGAAATGTCATCTCTGAATAAAACACTTATTTGTGTAAAAAGAGTCTCTTTACTCAACACCAAAAATGGTTAACTTTTCATTAGGTTGGTACAATATAGGAATCTTGGGATTTTCTTTTACATAACCAGTAATGAACCAGGACGAAGGGAGATACAAACTCAGCCATGCTTGAGATTGTGTTCTCACCACAAAAGCGCCACCTACATCAGCTACGTATTACATGTATAGCGGCAAGAAGCAGAACTCCAATCAGACACTCTGAGGAAGTTGTCTCAAAGTTAAAACTACTTTGAATTAATTTTCTGAAACTGAAAACTTTCTTTTACTAGCCTGGTTACCAAACCTACATGTACAATGTATTTTAGTTCCCAATTTTGGAGAAAATGTAGGACTCGAGAGCTACAAAAATAGGTTTGGTAACCAGGCTATCTTTCACAATGTTGGTACTTACGCAACCCATAGTGACTAATGGCCATCTCTGGGGCTTCAATTTGTGAGTAATTGAGGAGACATGGGACCTCAGAGTAATGTTCAGACAGCTAACTAACCAACTTGTCTTCTCCCTCAAGAACAATATATATTTTCCATTGTGACCTTGTTTTCCACATTTTCCTACATTACTTAGATCTGGGCTTTAAGTGATGTAGTTGGAAGTGTGACAACCAATGGAAGATAAGTAGTTCTCTGAGGACAGCAGACAATAATTGCTTTACTTTCTTAAATGAGTCACTTGGCAATTATCCGAACTTCATGTTGTTGCTCACACATGTACATTGTACGTGGGTGATGGCTTTGTTAGCATACATGTGTGCCAGCACCACAGGGGAAATTGGGGGACTGGAAAGTGGAGTTTGAAACTTCTTTTAATCTTGTTGTACAATGTGACAAGCCATTCCTTAGTTGAAATAGGGCTACCCAACAATTAGTGGCTATCAAAATAATTGTTCCAAACAAGGAAGCAAATATATACAGACAACGAATCTAAACCCAAAAGTAAGCCATAGGTAAGAAAGTTATCTCGAACCAGTTTTAGCTCACTGAAGAGCTAATCTCCCACTGGTCGTGACAGAGAAGACAGACATGTACAGTATTTACAGGTTCATTGTACCTGGAAAATTTCCCTGGCTCTTCCCAACAAGCACAATGAACAGTGGACCATGGTTTAATGTCACGTCCTAAGGACAACCACCCTTTCCAGTAGTGTACATGTCGGGTGAGCGACAACAGTGAGTGGGATTCAAACTCCCAACCTCTTAGTCAAAAGGCAGTGTCACTAACCACTGGACTATACATGCTACCATAGGTTGCTAGGATAACATAAGAGCATGATTTTGAGTTCATAAGGGGTACTGACCTGTACACCAAGTATCCCAAAGATGACAAAGAATGTACAGCAGATGAGAACAATGTTCCCAATGGGCTTCAGGGAGGACAGTAGGGTCTGGACAACCAGCTTCAGGCCTGGGGCTCGGCTGATCACTCTGCAGGAATTAACAACAATTATTATTAACAACAATTTCAGCATTAAGCTTTCAGCATAAAGTATTCAGCATTTTTTTTTGTCAGTGACACCAGAGAGATCTCAAATTCAACATGAATTTCTTCTCCAAACAAATATAAAGGTCAATGACCTGAACAATTAGGTTAATGACCTGAACCAGACATCTGTCACCATGGTAACTAATGTTGGGTTACATCATGTTGCAATTTTACAGCAAGAGGGATTTGGACTCCTGTCATTATATATTATATATATATATATATATATATGAATATGTTAGAGTAATAATTAACATAGCAGACCATATGCGAAGGTAAACACTATGCATTTGCCTTGAAAATGTTACCTTTCTATGTACTATGTACAATTGTCATGCAATAAACTGCTTATTTTTGTAATTCACAAGGTACAAAATTTTATGGTCACCTGAGGGGTCTGAGAGTCCGAAGCAAGCGGAAGACTCTTAGGATGCCGAAGATTTTTGGACTGCTATTGGACGATACCATGATGACTGTGTCTGCCAGTGAGATGGTCACCAGGAAGCCATCAATGACGTTCCAGCCACTCTTCAGGTACGCACCTTCACCAAACACAAATCCTAACGCAAGGACCTGCAGAAGAATTTTTTTAACAACATTAGGCCACACCAACTTAGTTTTATGGATGACATCCGCACGCGCATTGATTTTTGCCTGTTCTCAACAAAAAAAAATCACCTCCTCCAAGGCTCTGGCCTGGATGCCATATCCTCTGTAGTCCATGGTAGCTAGCAACAATACAGTTTACAGTTTATTATAGGGAGCCGATGGTAACTAGAGAGAATGGCACCCAGGCTGCCAAAGCTCCACAGAACTCAAGAACTCAGTACAGTAACGATTCACAAATTCCGCAAAAAGCCCTCATGTGCCGACTTGTTGTAAAAGTCACTACATACATTTGTACTACTGCAATTCACAATAACAGCTTTGTGTTCCTGTAGTTTAGCTGCATTTTTTGGCCGGACCTTTTTTTATTTGGCCGTGTGCACTAGTTTGGGCGTCTTCAGAGGAGGTCATCCATAAAATTAAGTCGAAGTGCATACAGTGGTGTCACAAGAAGAACAAGTGACTTTCTGAAAATTGCCCTTTAACATGCTAAGGCAGTATAATTTTATTTTCATACTATTGATGTTGAGAGAATATGCTATTGGAAGTAAACAAACATGAAACATCAAGTATCATCAAGTATTGTATGGTATCTTCAGAAAAATTCAAGTCTTATATGACTTTTTGTTGTGCAAAACATCAGTGTCAGCAAAGTTGTATTCTCCTCAAGAGAGTTACAGATGCACTTCTGCTGAGTTTGTTTGCACAGAAGGATTCATCATCACGATAGCGGTTCCCAAGACTTTAAACTCTCTTGAGATTCAACTGGCTGTAGGCAAGAAAATGGATGATCATCTGCTGGCATGTTTGTAGGAATATCCACACTGTTCCATGAATAGTTTCATCTGGTTGGTAAATCAAAGGACATTGAAGGCCAGCCATGAATGTTGGCAGGGTGTTATGTTGGTTCTGTGAAAGCACTGCAATGACTCTTGCCACTGTTCACGATGGTCAAATTTGGGCCCAAATATTCCAACCTTTTAATCGAACCGAAATTGTTGTTTACTGGGATATAAGTTACCCCCTGTACTTACTCAGCCTGCCTGACATGCTTGCAAACATGGTATTTAAACCGCAACAAAAACAAATTCAATTTACCTCAGAAACGTTTTAAATTGTAGGCAAGACACAAATCTTGATCTGTGTCGGACGGATTTTTTAAAGATGGCGGCATTCTGGAATTATCGGTCTTTGAAGTTGAAAAAGTGCATTTTTTTGCGAATTTTTCGGCCATAGCAACACTTTAACTTTGAAATAAAGAAAACTGTCCGACTCAAATCTTAATTTTGTTATACTGTTCTCTAAAATGCAAAAATGTGGAATTTTCTGGAAGATTTGGGGTCGGTTTAAATCAGTTGTTTGGTTATTGACGTCGATTGTTCTAGAATAAGCATTCGACACTTTGAGAGTGATTTCACACACATTTAAGCATTGTAATAAAAATAACAACATTTGGGGTATATGCAGTGCTGATTTTATCACATTTGGACAATGGAGTCCCCGTGAAAATGTTAATTATTGCTTAACAAAATGTTTACCGTTGAGACTGGCTCCACAGAAGCCGCGCGTGGAACCCCGGTAACCTGATACCCCTCCGTAGAATTGGAAATTTTACCCTAGAAATTGACCGCCGTGGTTGTCTGAAATGGACATCCACAACTTTTCTACTAAACAACTTAATTTTTTTTATTTAAGAGACTCTTTTTGCACAATCAAGTGTTTTATTCACAGCCGGCATTTCAGTGACCATATGTCACCTTCCTCAGGGCAATTCTGACTGGTTCACATAATGTATATCCTGTATGTTTTGGACTGCATTGTAGATGCAATTCCCTGTAACCACGCATACATGTATGTGTACATGTAGATATGTAAATATTGTACGTTTGGGAATGCATCTATAGCAGTGACACCTGTGCTGCAGTGCAATGTGAACCAGTCAGAATTGCCCTGAGGAAGGTGACAGACGGTCACCGAAATGTCGACTGTGAATAAAACACTAAGTTAAACTTGGTTGGGTAAAAAGAGTCTATTTACTCAGTATCTTAGCAACCTGATGAAACTATTCACGAACTTTTTATGACAAATCTCTCACCACCAGTCTGACTCACCTTAACAGACATCTCCAAGGTGAATATGACAGTGAAGACGTGGTTGGCGATTGTCAGGAACATTCTCTCCTAGAGGGGGGATAAAGGTAATGGTGATGTAGTCCCAAAGACCAGGCATTGTGGGAATACAGTGGGCAGAACTCACACAATCACTTCTAAAATCCACTTCATCCATCAAAGCGTAATGTCTTTTCTGTAACTTACTGCAGGGCAAATTACCCATCTGCGATGCAATTTCTAATTGTCACTAGGTTCAAATCTTTAACCAGTTAAAAGCTTTTAAGCCCAGAGCTGAAAACAATGAAACTTACATTTTCTTGATCTTGAATCCATCAATCATGATTGTATCTTATTGGGAACTTCCCAGGCCCTCAAGCCTAACTACTTAATGTAAAAGTTTCTTTGACTTAAATTGACTTCATGACTGTCAGAGAATACAAGGAAATCAAACTATCCAAAATCAGAATATGCTGGATTTGAAATAAACTGCAACAAAGACAGATATGATAATCAACAACTTCACATTGAGCTGAGTCAAGCAACTATCTCCTTGGTGCTGAAAAAATGGTTATTGTTATTTAAAGTTTCATTAGCTGTTATACTTCTACAAATTGATAGAAATCAAAGAGGCCACACTAATTTAATTTGTTGGTTCACAGATTTGCCTACTTCTTCTATTTCTAGTTTCAAAAAAGTCCAGGCTCTGAATCAACTCCAAAAATGCTCATATTTTGGCCCCAACAGTTGAAGGAAGTCCCTTCTCTTCAGAGTTGTTACAGTTTTTCTGATAAAAATACAACAACCAAAAAATTAAATTGATGTGGCCTGAACTGACTATTGGTAAAGGAAGTCTTTGCTGTTAAACTTGCACAGAACATTTCAGATAGAGACATACTTTTTTAATGAAGAAGAAATGATCATCAGAGCTGCTGCATTGAAAATGACTTTTAGTTATCAGTTCTAATTTGAAGTTGCATTGGTGTATGTGTCCTATATATAAGCCACATACTCATTTTTCTTACGGCAATGAAATGCATCTACTTTACAATGATATGAAGTTCATCTTTTTTATAATAGTGATAAACCTGCTAATTTCTCTTTATCCCATGTGTGTAATAATTCTACATATCATGATATCTAGATGCCTTCAGACCTTCACCTACATGATATCTTTCTTTCATTGAGTATGAGAACCAAGACTATCAAACCTTTTATCTATGGCTCTCTAAATGAAGTAATAACAAGACACTATCCCTAGAGACAGTGTAATCTTGTCTGATCAAAGGCTGCGTGGGTGTGGATATCATGTTCAAAGACCAAAGTTGACTTCATTTGCCTGAGTGCTTTTCAAAGTGCAAGAAGAGACAAGGACAATAAAACACAAAGATGATTAAAACATGATTGTTGTCCTAAAATTGTGTCTCTAGCGATAGAAATTAAGTTTTCCTTTAGTCTTATGCATAGGAGCCAAATAGCAAGATTGACTTCACTTGCCTGAGTGCTTTTCAAAGTACAACACGCAACAAGAGAAAGGGACAGTAAAATGCAATCTGATTTTGATTCTCTACTGTTAAAAACATGATTGTTGTCCTGAAATTGTGTCTTTAGAGATAGAAATTAAAGATTTAATTATAAGTCTTATGCATAGGAGCCAAGTAGCCATTCGTTTCTGTGCAATTCTACTATCCCATGGAAGTCAGTAAGGCAACACAAATGGCTAGCTTTACCAAATCTGAAGGGAGCTGTATGTCACTGAGCATTCCAAGATGGAGTATCAGTAGCTACATCTATCTTACTGAAAGGCCTACCTGTCTACCAGGGGTAACAGGACTGTGTATTCTCAGAAAAGGCAATTTTATGGTGATGTACCAGTATGTGTAAAAGTGGCAATGCTTGCTCACACTTGTCCTAGCAAATTGTACATTCAATCCAAGAACAACTGCTGAATGATGTTTTAAGGATATAGTGTTGCAGACTGGAATGCCAAGCTCAGGTTGGGAAGTGTAGATCATTTCTGACTTGACAACAATACCTGTATATCTTCCCCTGCCTCATCCACTTTGCAAATTTGATATTGCAACTTTTTGTTGCCCAAAGTTACAGTTCAATGGCCTCAATATCTAGTAACTGCTAGTTGCTAGTGGTAAAGATTTTTATATCATGTCAATCTATTGCAGACTTATCCTAATATTTGTGTCATTAAAACAACATTAAAATTTGATACAGCAGTATCTTTGATATTTCCTTCCTAATTAAATAACTGACTAGTGTTCAAATCTTTGATTCACTAAAACTTTTATCTACCAAAAATATTACTCCAGCAAATCAAATGACATACTAAAGAAGCCAAAAATGCATTTTCCCTCATTGGGCACAAAACTATATTATGTTATATAACATGGAAACTGCCACAGGTGATGGAAGTACATGTGTGTTAGAATGGAAGTTCTGTTGTGTCCTAAGCTCTTTGGAAGTACATGTATGTTAGAATGGAAGTTCTGTTGTGTCCTAAGCTCTTTGGAAGTACATGTATGTTAGAATGGAAGTTCTGTTAGTCCTAAGCTCTTTGGAAGTACATGTATGTTAGAATGGAAGTTCTGTTGTGTCCTAAGCTCTTTGGAAGTACATGTATGTTAGAATGGAAGTTCTGTTGTGTCCTAAGCTCTTTGGAAGTACATGTATGTTAGAATGGAAGTTCTGTTGTGTCCTAAGCTCTTTGGAAGTACATGTATGTTAGAATGGAAGTTCTGTTGTGTCCTAAGCTCTTTGGAAGTACATGTATGTTAGAATGGAAGTTCTGTTGTGTCCTAAGCTCTTTCTTGCACCGAGAGGGATCATCCCAACAACACACATCCATTAGATGTGACAGACAACTTTGTCTCCTGAGCTACTTCAAAGCATCCTCATAGCCTGATTGATGCACCAAACACTAAATGGGATAGCAGAATCTGATGGGATCTCACAGATTCATATTACGGGGGAGGACAATGGATATGCTCTGCTCAGATAACTCGTTTGCAGTGTTTGTACGAGTGACATAAATCACCTTACTTCAGACTCAGAAACTTCTACAATCTCCCAGGGTTAGCATCTATCTTTCTTGTGATATAATGGCAGAGATTTGGTCATACAAACATAGTTTCATGGATGGCAATTATGTCAGCCCTATCACTGAAACAAACAAAATGCAGGGTCCGAAAAGACAGCTTCTCCATTTACACTGTAATTATTATGTTTACCGAAGGAAAACATATTGTTTTTGCTCAGTTTCTTCTTCTTCTTCTCCAAACAGTGACCTATGACCTGACCAATGGCCTGATGTATTGACGTCCTGTCATCATGGGAACTGGTGTTGGGTTACATAATGTTGCAATTTCGCAAAACTAGGAGGGATTTAGACTCCTGTCACCATATACATGTATGTCAGTGTTCGAAATACTTTTTTTTCAGGTACGTGCAAAATTGCACATTGGCAAATGTGTTCGAGTAAGAATTAAGAGAGCAGACCATATCCGAAGGTAACTATTATGCATTTGCTTTGCAAATATTACTTAAGTTTTCTAGTTTTGTACATTGAACTTCAAGGAAATATTGAGAGGCATACAGGTCTGGAGAATAACAGAGAAATCATTTGGTTCCTTTCCTTTGTTGTTTCTTCAGGCAGTGAACAAAACAAAGTATGGTTTGCAATACATGTATCTCTCTGTATCTTGGAATTCCCTCTATACTTATATATAAAAGATATGTTCCCCAGCTTTATAGGCTTTTAGATGACACAGAAAAATTCATATTCCTTCTGAAACTTGACAAATCATGTATCAGTAGCTCCATATACATGCGTACAAATACATGTGCATCTATAACTGCGTCAAGAAGCGAGAAGAAGTTGAACCTGCAAATAGTAGATCACATTTAATTTAGTATGTATTATAGATTAAGTTATTGTTGTCTTCTTTTTCCCTGTTTATTCATGACCTGTACTAAGCTTGTAAGAGCATAATCATACAATAAAGGTCTTTCATTCATTCAATGATATCTTGTGATGTGTATTGTTTTGGGTAAAGCACAGCTACATTTGTACAAGGTGAAGCAGACTTACAGAACTGTCTGGGTCAATCTTGGGTCTCTCCATGGCCAGGGTGATGCAGTTCATGAAGATAAAGATCAAGATGACGTGGTCGAACCACTTCTTGTTGACCAGGTACTGGCACAACTGTCGTAACCTGTGGAACATGGGAAGTCATGTTATGTTCTGTATGTGTAGTGAGCATCTTAAAGCACATACTGTTCTATGTCAGGTAAGGCCACACCAAGTAATTTTTATGGATGATGTCTGTGTGCACAATGATTTTGGCTTCTTCCCAGAAGACAAGAATTTCCGCTTCTTGTAACTATGACCAAAGAGTCATGACAGTGGGATGTAAGGGAAGACATGATTAAAGGAAAGAAACAGGGCAGGACAACAACTGCTGTTCCACTGATTTATTGCTGTTTTCATGAGAAGTAAAAGACTTCTTGTTTTTTCCCTATGTTCTCTCATTCAATTTGTCGTCCCTTAGTACATTTCAAATTTAGACATCTTTCTTTTTTAGGCCCTTCTTGTTTGTTTTTTTTCACTCTCACATAGATTAAGGGTCTCCAGAGGACGTCATCCATAAAAATTACTTGGTGTGGTCTAAAAGAATATAATGTAGTGTGTACAGTATAAGTTGTGCCCTAGACTTTTGTTCATTTTGTACAGTATTCACCTCTGTCTGAGGCATATTTGAAGACAACAGGATTCACCAAACAGAATTACCTGTTAGTTTCTCTCTCACCGAAGATTACTCACCTGTTCTCAGGTGCAAACAGGAAGAGGGAGTAGTACGCTCTGGTCTTGAAGCAGCCTTTAGGGGCAGGGCAGCATTTCCAGTATATGTTCTGCAGAGTAACAAGGTCAAAAATTAAAACAAAACATGTAACTACCAACACAGATGAACTTTCATGATAGGTCCAAAATTAGTTGTATCTTTCCCTTGTCATAAAACAAAACAAAACAGATAATCTAAGTGACATATGTTGAGCTGAAAAGAGCAGTTACAGCTAGACAAAAACCCATACCTTAACACCATTTTACAAACATATTATACATCTGATATGATGTGTAGTTTAAAACCACTTCTAAAACAACAGTCCCTTGTTAGAATCCTGCAATTGTGCTATGTAGTTGAGGTGACATACTAGTATACAATTATGTATGGCCAGAGAGGAGTCTGCTCCAGCCACCTAGCTACCACCACACCACTAACTGGCTGAGGACACATATTAAACAATCAGGATTCGAGAATTGCACAGGATACTGGAAGGCTTTAATCAACACAGCATAGACCAACATGGAGTCCATGGACGGACTAGACTACGTCACGGGTGATCACGTGACTGCTTATTAACATAATACATACCAGTGGTGCAAGTCCCACCTGTTCTGGACATGCCTCCTTCTTTTCTGTTGGATCTTTCAGGACCACCACGTCTGGTGGCCCGTTCACTTCTGTATCCTTCTCCTTCTCCACCTCCACAGTCAGGACCGGCTTCTCGATCACCGACAACCTTGGGCCCCCGTTACACTCGCTGGACACGCTCACCCGTGGACTGTTTCCGTTGTTGCCGTTATTGCCAGGCTTGGAGTTAACTGACAGGTGACTACAATCACTTCCCTGAGATGTCGTACTCTCTCTAGTCCTCTGGGCTACGTTGCGCGATCGCAAGCTTCCCGACTGGGACGCGACGTCCGTGGGATTGAAGGACGCGCGTACGGTCCCGTCCTCTTCATACGTGTGCGTGGTGTTGGTGAAGACTTCGTCGTTGAGGTTGTCCTCGTCGTCGGCGAAAAGGATGCTCTCCCGTTCTCCGCCCTTGCTCCTGCGCCAGCTGAAGTGACTGCTGCGGCTTCCGGAGCGGGACAGTCCCGGCGAGTCCTGTTCAGGAACAGTCAGGGCAGACTGGAGGGGGCAAGAGAGTGGTGGAATATTTTATAAATTTTAACAATAATCTGACCCAGGGCTCTATAGCCAGCACCCATTTTTCTGTCAATTGCAAGAATTTTGAAATGTGTGATGGAAAATTTTTCATTTTTTAAACAACTTCATCCACCTTGATGGACAAAATTGGCAAAAAAAATTTTAGGGAAAAGAATTAGAATATCCTAAGGACCACAAAGGACCACTCTGTTCAACCCCATGATTTGCCTGTCAAAATGTTGGAAATAGTGTTTTAAAAGGCTTGAAAATCAAAAGTTGTCTCTAAACCTCCCTAGATTGCAATCACTGTCCCCCCAGGTCCAATCATGCATCTCAGGGCTGATGGAAAAATATCTTGAGATAGCTGTTCATCCCACCATCTTATGACTTGAGATGTGCACTTGCAAGGGACAGTTGAAAATCTTTGATAGTAACAGGAAAGATTTAAACTGATACACACGACTTACAAATGTCATGTCAAAGCATAGCTTTCAGACAGCATCCGCCATCTTTCTTTGGCTACTGACAAGAGCAGTCACGTGACCAAGAGGTTAAAAGGTCAACACAGCTCACGGTTCATTTCAACTTCACTTGATACATGTAGTATATAACATCCGTGTCCATAATATCACCAGGGTCCATAATATCGCCACCTTGAGAAATGTGCTTAAAGATATTTTTACTGCAACAAACTTTTGGTATACACTCCTGCACACCTCAAATGTACATACCTAGGGTATGTTGCAGTAAAAATATCTTTAAGCACACTTTTTCTCAAGGTGGCAATATTATGGACTATGGTGATATTATGGATACAGATGTTACCTAAATTACAATTAAAACTATCCAACAGAGATAACAATAATATCAAGGTAAGAATTTTGCTCACAGGATTCCCAGGTGTGCATTCCTCATCCTGTGAAGAGACACTGGCTGGATAGCTGACAGACTTCCCGTTGCTGGGCCCGTCAGTGTTGGGTGAGCCCTGCGGGGTGGCCTCAGTCCTGGTGATGATGGGCGGCTCAGGACCGGCCACCACCAGTGTCCGCTCATTGTTCAACACACTGGGACTGGTGTCATCACCATCAACATCTATAATCATGACAAAACATCGGGAAAACTTGTTTCAGTACCAAGGTCAGCCACCAGGAGGCCCAAATTTGACCTTCGCCATTGTCCTTCTAAGACCTACCCACATACCAAATATCATCACAATCCATAAAGGCCTTTCTAAGTTTATATGCTAACCACAAGTATGCAGAAATTGTTCAACACTTTGGGACTGGTGTCATCATCATCACCATCTATAATCACAACAAAACATCAGGAAAACTCGCTTCAGTACCATGGTCAGCCACGAGGAGACCCAAATTTGACCCTGACCTGTGTCTTCCTAAGAGCTTTCAACATACCAAATATCATTGCAATCCAAAAAGGCCTTCTTAACACAGGTGTTACTGCTATAGATGCATTCCCAAATGTACAATATTTACATATCTACACATATGCATATAGTTACAGGGAACTGTATCTACAATGCGGTCCCAAACGTACAGGAGTTGGATACATAATTGTGGTCTGAGTTACTAAACAAAAGCAGTTTCAGAGTACAGATTCCACAATGCAGTTCCAAACATACAGGAGTGAAATATGTACAAGATGGTCATTTAACACAATAAACCCCTACTTCTTAAGTCCCCTACCTTTCCTTGCAGCTCCCACAAGCACCATCTTGTAGTTGCTGGGCCCTGCAAGTTGACTGTTTGAGTCGTCCATTTCACTCTTTCTTTCCTCCTGCAAAGTTCACATTTCGTACATCAGATAAAGACAATACAATGAAATATAAGAAACAGCCTTTAGTGGTTAAGTATAAATAGATGTAATTGTCAGAGATGCAAATGGTGTCAAACAACTTTGTAAGCTTAGGTACCCTGTTCACATATTGCCATGCACCTGGGATAAAGGTAGGTTATATATATAGTCAAGTTAAAAAAGCTACTTTGCATGCCTGCACAGTCCAATACACATTATCAAATAACTGTTGGAACACCTTTTCTGAGGAGCAAAGAAATGTTGTTAGTAAAATTAAAGACTGCATGGTTAGAGACATCATGAGACATAGAGATCAGTCAGTGTTAGGAGACATGAGACATCAAGAATGAGTGGATCACTGAACTTGGAACTTACACTGGAACATCATGGAACATGCAGCAAGGGCATGGAATGGGGCACATCAAAGACTTTTGAAACAATCTCATGGGATACATTATATTGTTTGACTGTACATTAAGACGCATGTAGCAAAGGCTTGCAAATGTCCAGATCAGTAAGGATTTCTGCTTGTGAAGACATCCTTTATATATATATTTTTATTATGCCTTGTTTTACAAGGACAGAATGTCATTAACAGGTTCAAACTAACTGTACATTTGACAGTTTATACTTTGTGATATTTCATATTCTGCTGACATAGGTTCAATGCTATAAAGGGATCTTCGCTCCATCTAGAGTATGGGTATTAGCACAAATTATTGCCCAGAGCAGACAACCAATATGCAGCAATTTTGAATTGGGTTAATGCACAAAAAGCATATTAATTTTATTAAGCATTGCTGTTGGCATTGCCATTGGAATATGGAGTGTACAATGACTTGGGATGGCAAAGCTCCAGCATAATATGATATGATGCCTGATTGTTATGACTTTGACATTACATTTGTTATGATGGATTATCCTTTTTAAAAAGGTTTCTCCTAATATCAGGAAAGCCAATGGAAATTATTATTAATAACAAATGGATTAGAAATGAAGGCAGTCAGTTACACCAGAGAATAGAAGACCCGTCACCAAAAAATATGGTTTCACCAAGATTTGGGCAAAGTCTACTTGTCACCTTCAGTGGTGGGGTCAAAAGATTGGTTGTGGACGGAGTCTTTTTTGACATCAAACTTGGTCGTTTCCAAACTGCCAGGGTCTTGAGAGCTTTTGTTGCCCTTTGGACCTTCTCAATTTTCCGTTGCTGTGAACACAACACAAAACTGCACATCACAACACAGAGAAGTAAAAAAAAAGTATGGCTACTGCATGCTTTGATATATAAACATGACTGTGCATTATATACAATGTATATGCTAGGTGAAACATGCATAACAATAATTTTATCAACAAAAAGGTATAAAACACACAACAAGTCAAGTAGTGTGGAGGCACATGCAGATACAATATAATCACTTCAGTTATTAGGGATCCATTTTTGTTAGGCTTAAGCAAAAATTGCAGGATATGTTCCCTTCAGAAGTCGACTTATTCTTTGGCTAAATGAAAGATGATGATTTTATAGTAGCCATACATATAGTATGTTGACACTTCTAAGTTCTAACCAACAAAGCAAAACAATCAACACTTTCGAATGCAAAGGTCATAGACAGAGATCATTAATTAGTTGACTTACTAACAACGAATCTGGAAGAGAAGCATCTTCAGACAACTTCAGAAATGGATGTACATGTATCATGACAAACAACAGAGAGTTCGATGTTTAGTAACTGAAAAAAACTGATTGTACACATCGATGTAACTGTACCTTCAGTGAATGTCACACACCATATGATCAACTAGTACATGATGATAAAATGTTATGTTTATATGAGACAAAAGTGGATATTTTCACCACTGTGACCACAACACACATTAGCCTCACCTCGGCTGAGAAACCCTCTACCAAGATGGCCACCAGTAGGTTGAACAGAACGTAGTTTCCGAAGGTCATGAGGGCGATGAAATACAGAGCCGCCCATGGAGATGTGTTCTTCATGCCATTGTAGAGAACAAGGTTCCAGTCTTCCTGTGTCAGGATCTGTAGCAGCAAACAATTAACAGTTAATAAAGGGTTAATGCCCTGCTCTGATGTGTATATGGTGAGATAATCCCCAGTCTGGTGCGATAACCAACGAATAAGCCACTGAGCGAGCGTAGCCGTAGTCTATATATTGTACTGGGCAAGGCCCCAAACTGGGGCATCACGCCCTAGTCTTAACACTACTGTTAGTGTCCTGTCCCCTGAATATTGGTATGGTCCAAAAATTTAACCAACCACTTTTGAGATTACGGCCTGATAACCAATGGGAAATAGCCTTCTGATTGGTCAACTGGGTATATGATAATGAGTATGAATGACTCATGATTCTGGAAGTTCTTGGAAAAAAAAATAGTGTCTCCTGATATCTGGCCTTAAGTTTTCAAGTGTAGTCTGAGTGTCTCATCATCAACTATCATTGATGGATGAAATTCATATAAAGCTGGGAAAAAGAAGAGAAACTATCAAGAAGTAAGCAGTGTCTACAAGACCAGTGATTTACTTACAAAAGGAAGAAAATATATTAAGTAGGATCACCTCACCTGGAACACGGTAACAAGGGCCCACAGAAGGGTATCAAAGTTCTTCCGATCACATGTCACTTTCTTGTTGTGTACTGGATCGGGTTCACAGAACTTGTTCCCAAATAAGTGCATGCCCAGAATACTGAAAAAATCAACAGTCATTTCAGTTAAGTAACAGTCTGAGTCTGTGTGTCATCATAAGTTAGAATAATTTGCTACAAATGTGTAAGATTATTGTATTATATAATAGGACTAAGTACATAATAAGACACTAGCTGCAGCAGACAAACAAATGAAGGTTCAACACTGGGAATCGGGGATATATGATAAACTGACATTATGATATAAGACATCTTCTGGCAATCTAATGGCAAGTCAAAAATTAAGTTGTTCAACTTTGCAAGTACATGTATTCAATACCAGCTACTTCTAAATGTGTCAAATACGATAAATGAACACCCAATTCAAAGTAATCATCTAATTGTAAAGGATTCAATGACACACCTACTGCCTCTGTAAAAATGAGACGGCTTTCAAACTGTTTTGGACGCCATCTATGTCAATGCAAGTATGTTCAAGGCTGCTGCAGTTTCAAATTTCCCTTTGCTCCTTAGAATCTTATAAAATGTTCAGTTTCAGTGGATTTTCTTGAATGTTTGACATTTTCTCCTTCAAGACCTACCTGAAGATGAAGATGAACAGGATAAGGAGGGCAAAGAAGGTTGCCACATTGTCCATCGTCTTAATCATGACCAGGAGCTGGCGTCTCAAGGCAGGTAGGAACCTGATCAACTTCAGTATTCTCATTAGCCGGAAGGTTCGCAGCACAGACAAGCCACCTTCACCGTCTTCTGCAATCTCCACAATACTACAGAAAGAAAATGCAGCAGATATGTTAATATTATAGTGAAGTCTTGTAAATGAAGCGTAGCATGGGAATTCTTGTCCCGTATATTAGAGTTCCCATACTCTGTCCTTGGTGCTGAAGTCAAATTGCTGTCTGTTGTACTAAACACATGAAGAATGCTATGGATAAACTGGATTATCAAGTGTTCTAGCCATTTATTCCTGTACTCAGTCAATGTTTGGTGTGATAGTGTGACAATCATCATCATAGGGGGTTCAGGGGCATGCTCCCCTTGGAAAATTATGAAATCTTGACCCTCTGAAATGCTGGCAAAAGTTTAGTCCATCATGAGCAGCAAAATTTCGACAAAGACAGAGACTGGCTAGCTAGAACACTGAACTATATATTTCCACGTCATCACCAATGATACCACAGGCTGTCCTTGGTGCTGAAGGTATATACTATCCGGTATAGTTGGTTTAGAACTTTAATCAATAGTTTTCTTACATAGTCCAAGGTGTTACATGATGTGAAGGCATTAAAACCTACAAATGTTTCAACATACATGATATCCGTGAATAGTTTCATCAGTTGGTACATTGTAAGTCACTGAGTAAAGACTGATTCTTTCTACATGTCAACTAAGTCTTTTATTCAGCCGACGTTTCGGTGACTGTCTGTCACCTTCCTCAGAGCAATTAACATTGCACTGTAGCACAGGTGTAGCCACTACAGATGCATTCCCAAATGTACAATATTTACATATCTACATACATGATATCATATGTGAAAGCTCCGGGGACAACTTAGTTGCCAGTACCTGACTATAACAATGATGCCATCAAACACGTTGAAGCCGTTCCTGATGTACTCAAGCGGTCCGTAGGCCAGCAGCTTCAGGAGCATCTCCAGGGCAAACAGGGAGGTGAAGACCAGGTTACTGATCTCCAGGGCATTGGTCAGTTCCTCAGGCTACAACAGATACAGGTGGAACAGGAGTTGATGTGATATACCGATCATCCGGGCATGTTAGTCAAATTCTGATCTGCAGTACAATCTATAACAGTTGTTTGTTTTGCTCAATAAAGATCAAGCTGCTTAGATTCAGACTGTACTGTCATAAGAAAAAAATACGCTGAACACTGATTTTTCCAGAGAATCTGAAGATTGTTTCAAAGAATCTGAAGATTGTTTCAAAGAATCTGAAGATTTTTTCCAAAAATCTGAAGTTTCCAGATTTCCAAAAATCTTTCCAGAAAACCTGAAGATTTTTTCAAAGAATCTGAAGATTTTTTCAAAGAATCTGAAGATTGTTTCAAAGAATCTGAAGATTGTTTCAAAGAATCAGAAGATTGTTTCAAAGAATCTGAAGATTGTTTCAAAGAATCTGAAGATTGTTTCAAAGAATCTGAAGATTGTTTCAAAGAATCTGAAGATTGTTTCAAAGAATCTGAAGATTGTTTCAAAGAATCTGAAGATTGTTTCAAAGAATCTGAAGATTGTTTCAAAGAATCTGAAGATTTTTTAAAAGAATTTGAAGGTTGTTTGAAACATTGTGATCTTGAAACTTATGTTGGAACTTCCTTTAATATTGCTTAATATAGAAATTAATTAGAATGGTTTTATTGCTGTGTGACTTTTGAGTCAAAAGATGCTAAGTCAAAATACTCTCTTGATGGTAAAATATGAAGCTTTCTTCATTCCTAAAAATTGATGCAAGTAACTTGAATGTAAAAGCCTACGAAGTAAAAAAAAAAGTAGACACCGTCATTACAAATATTGTAAATTCTACAGTAGATATATTAACACTGTTGAACAGACCTGATTGTGGAACTCAATCCCCATGCTCAGGGTGTTGACTAGGATGGCCACCATGATACCTCGGTTGAAGTACTTACTGTCCACAATAGTTCTCATAAATCTGCAAGCACAGAAAAGAACAAAATAATGAGTTTAACATTTTTTAGACATAAACGTCAATTCCAACCTACAAATTCTGAATTTTAATTTTTGAAAGAGGTGCACGTACATGTAGTTAGGGCGAAACACGCTTGAATCATTCTATGGAAGCCAGGAAAGCCTGGGCCGTACCGTAAAGTACGGCCCGGTCCGGAACACCCATATCGAACGTTATCGCAGCCTGGGGTATATTATAAATTCCTATACCACACAGCAGAATTTACATCTGGCTGATGCTCACATCAGGCTTTCTACCCAGTCTTCGAGAATATTCGCTGTACTATTTTCCATACCCGCATCATAGACCCCGGGAGTCGCCCATTAATACTGTGACCTTACTTGGTAAACCTCTCCCAGCAGCCTGGGGGTCTTGGTGGCAGGTCTACACTCTCCTCTCTGTACTTCTTGGAGTCCACTTCTTCATCACTGACAGACACCTCAGACTCAGAGTTAGAGGCCCAGTCATACTGTGTGTGTGTACAGGTGCATTCTACATGGTCTTTGGACACCACCGCTGGAACTTGTAGAGAGGAGGGAATCACAGATGGGACGGAAAGTCTTTGGACATGTAGGGACTGATCATTGTCATCTGTTAACACAGAAAAGAGAGCATGGTACATGTGTGAGTACGCTGGCGGTAGGCTAGGACATTTGTTACCAATGCCTTCTAACATACAGTCCAAAGATCTAACATTATGGCACTCATAATGTATTGGTAACAGTAACACAATATGACAAGGGAGATGGCCAAGCAGTTTGCCAAAGTCTTGAAAACTGCTGCAATGCCAACATGCAAATAGTGCCAAGAACATCCAAAATACTGTGCAAGGTGTCTTCCAGAAACATATCTTTTAAACACATGGTTAGAAGGAGTGTGCAAACCTTAATGGTGAGCAGGGCAGGTCATTTATAAGTGAGTGAAATATACGAAAGGGTCTAATAAACAACCAGTTGTGAAACAAGGGAAAGCAACCAACCTGCTGAGAGAGTCTTCAGGGTCGGTCTCCTTGCTGAGCAAAGCTCAAGAAATAGAGCGTACATGTGTGCTCTGGCGCATGCTTGCTCATTGTGTGCCTAGCAGGCCACCCAGCTTTAAACCCAAGCATGGCAGATACATGTACAGGGAGAGGGATCGAGGACTACAACACACGAATCTTGACAGTGTGCTATGCTGATGAGCTGTTCTCTGTCTCTCCATACATCAATGAAGGAGTGAAATGATGCAGCTTACCTTTGGCTTGCCTTGGGGCTTGTACAAATGTACATTGAGACTTTTCTTGTTTGCTGACCTATGCAGATTTTGGCATCACAATGATTTTTCAAAATTTTTTTGGGAGGTTGAAAATCAGGATAACCAATCAGTGATACATTGTAGCTGGTGGCATCTTTTCAGAAAGCGGCAATGCCTCAAGCAGTTTCTCCTAACTTCCTAAGGGAATTTTTAATGCAGATATAGGAATACTAGAGGGTGGGCTTTGTCCTTGTTAGAAGTCAGATTAGGAAATTCAATCAAGTTTCATTAGGGTGGAAATTAATATGGAGTTGACTGCTTTATCATTAGTAATATGTATATTCACAATGCGTTATCTTTTAACATCTTGAATAAAAATAGTAGGGGGGAACATTCTATTATTAGAATGTACAGTATAATTCTACAAATGCATACGTATGCCATAGATCATTTTGGTCAAATATCAAAAGGTTTAACTTTGCTCAGAACAAAAAAATGTCTTTCCCACTTTTTCTGGGAGCTCACTGATCAACAAAATCCTGCAATGGTCAGCAACTAAACCCCACCATTAGACGTTTGTCTCACTTCAAACAAGGAAATTTTTCATGTTAGATGGAGTTTGTACCTGAATCCTTGTGTTAAAGGAATTATGGAAAGTTTAACATGATTTATGCCAGATTAATGCCAACTCCAGGATATCCAAAGATTATAATTATCAGAAACCATTGAAATGTTTTTAATAGGTGATCAGCACTGTTATTATCATCATTGTTGTCGTTACTGTTGTTGTTAAAGATGGGTGACATCCGAGAACATCCCACAGCAAAGGTTGAAGAAGCACCAGGTCAATTATAGAAGAGAACTGACTCAAGGACAGTGATTATGAGATCAAGGTCAAAAAGGTCACAAGGGGAGGGGTCATCAGTCATGTGAGACATGTTAGCAGCCATCACCAAGCCTACCTTGGAATATGTTGGGATCCGACGTTACTGGTTTGGTGGAAGGCCCGGGACTGGAGTGGCATGATTGGGTGACGGCTCGAGCGATATTTTTAGTGGATGCGACAGCCAGGGTCTGCAGTTCCTCCACAGCGGGTCTGGACTTCAGGGGGGGAAGCACCTTCACCCCGGGGGTGGCAATGGTTGGCAGGGGGACGCTAAGATGTTTTGGTGAGGGCACGTTAACATCTTTAAGGGGAGGGAGGAGGGAAGACTTTCTTAATGTAGTGTCAGGCTCACCGTTGGTTGCGGCATCACTATGCGAAGACTGTAGGGACTCTCGTGAACGATGCACGCCGTTTGTTGAAGGCACTCGAAGCAAGTTAGACTTGCTCGGGGACTGCAAGGATTCCACATCGCTAGGTTCTGGAGTTGCGATAGGGGCGAGGGGGCTCGGGCAGGGGCTCTGAGACAACGTCACCTGGTACTTTGGCGGACTACTCTCTATGGGAGGCAGGGGGTTGGCACCTCCAAAATGGTAATGGTGGTGATGATGATGATGGTGGTGGTGAACACACACAGACTTTTTTCTCCGCCTCCTCTTCCTCTGTAGGGTCAGAGCGGGGTCCACTTTCCTCTGGTGTCTCCCCTGGAATCTGTGGTACAATCTCAATACTCTCCGCCTCAACCGTTTGCACATGTGCACGCACAACTTGAACACCTCTTCGTAGCAGCCTCTCGGATTGTCTGGGTTGGGCTGACTGGATAACGTACTCGTGGAGAGGTACTTCCGCCTCTGCTCCTCCATGAGCCTGCTTTCTCTTTGTTTGGTTTCAGAGAACTGTGTGGCTATGACCACTAAGCAAAGGTTGATCATGAAAAATGATCCAATCTGTCAAGAGATAAAGAAAACAAGACTTTCATGAGAGAAGTGATTAACAAATGAGGTGATTTCAGAATACAAAATTACGTATCAAAACATCTGTAGAGAATTTAAAAGAAATACTGTTCTTACAACATTCCAAGCAACCTTTTGACAACTGAAATTCTGTTATCATACAATTCATAGCTAGCATCATATTCCAGATTTTCTCAAACCAAAAAGTAGACTGAAATCCTTAATTTGTAAACATATTTTGCCTGGGACATGCAGTAACACCAGATCAGATACTGCTTTCAAAGAATGGTCATACCTTCTCATGCATACAGTACATCAAAGGCCTTCCAAAAAAAGTGTTTTGAGAACTTTTTTCAATGAATTAAGACAAAGACTACTTACTCTTCAGTCTCTAAGATGTTCAAAGACAACAACTACTACCCTCTACGGTGACAGTAAAATATATGATCATGTGAGATATGCAACACTAAGACATGCCACTAGTACATACATACAGTACTTGCAATAAGCGAATGCAATACCTTTATCTACACAGCTGCTTTTTTACTATCATGCAACTACGTATACTGGCTACATATACATTGTAATAATGCCATATGAAGGATCCACAACACAAAGCTGCATTTCTAGTCTATGCATGCTATTGTATAGCACTGAGTTTAATACTAGATAATCAAGACCCTTGCAATCAGGATATTTTGTTAATTTCTTTCTCATTCTTCACACAAGTGCAGACTGAGTTGTTAATGTTTGCATGCAGCTCAAACCAATGGGCTACATGACTACAAAACTAAAAACATTGTCTACAGAACTACAAAATCCAATCCAAGCTTTTAGAAGGATCTAGAAAGAACTCAAGTTTGGTCAGCTGAAGGGGAACCACTTGTATTCAGCTGCCTGCAACTTTAAAGAGGGGAGATGATCTCTGAAGGAAAAAAAGACTTTGAGCATCATGAAGATTGGAGGAGGAAGACAGTATTTTACTTGCAGGACAGGTCAAAAATGTGTATAAGATTGTATATTGAAAAGCATTGGGCAGTTTTGGGGACAGTGGTGTACATGTGTAGAAGTCATAGGATTTTCAGGAAAAAAAAAAAGAACAAAAAACATGATTCGTATATAGGAAGTGGGAAGTGCTTCACAAAACAACACTGATGAAGTTGGGAGGAAGAGACAGAGTAAGATTTAGGATTTGTGTAAAATTTACAATGTTGGGAAAAGCTGTGCAGATATAGAGGGGGGGAAATAGAGAGCATGTGTGGAGGCAGCTGAATGCAAACATGGCATACCTTGCTGGTGCCCACACGTGTACTTACGATGATAAGAAATACGAAATAAACAGCGTCCCAAATGGAATGCGCATCCTGAACACTGTACATGATGTAAACCCATCTTGCAAGACTGATTACCTAGAAGTTGGTAGAGAGAGCAGCTAGCAGTGTTGAGCAGAAAGACACAGGGAGCACCACATACTGTAGATAATACTTATAAATACAACTGAAGTCAGTCATATCCACATGTATTTGAACAGTGAACTTTTTCCAACAAATATTGTTGTCATAGAATGGAAGAGAGACTTTTACATCATATAACACTGGTCTTGTCAATTTTGGAAAGTCACTAGCCATTTGGAATCAAGGAAAAATTGATGTTCTATAGTACATTCAAGTTTGATATCAGTACGTAGATCTTGGTGTAATGAGCACAGTGATATGAAAATTATTGTTCTGCGGTGTCATAATTTATATATGATAACATTCCAGAACCAAGATCCTCTTTTTCAAGAATTTTTTCAAATTCAAGAATTTTTCAAAGTCAAACCCAACTGTCTTTTCTGTGAGAAATCAAACATTATTCCCTTGTCAGATAAAATTTTGGAACAGAATCGTGTTCTATTTGGGTCACCTGAGGTCATATGCGGGTGATTATTGGATTGTTTAATGTATGGATTGGGATGAATAATGACCCGGTTTTGACTCGATTTGTGACATTACGGCATCATAAGGAATGTGGGATGGAACCTTCTGATTGGTCAACGTCACTAACATCGATAATTTCTATTGAAATATATCCATGGGACTGAGTGACTTCAGTTGTCAACAAACTTCTACAAACACAAATGGGTTGATCCATACTTACAACAATGAGAATAACAAAATAGACCCAGTTCCAAACGGAATGGCAATCCTGTATATAGTACATGATGTCTACCCAGCCCTCTAGGCTGATAACCTACAGTGAAGTCAGAAAGAAATGGTTCATTAGTAAAAAACCGACAATGCAAAGCTCATGCTCAAATC